GCACTCTCTAAACATTTTCCTCGTAGCCAATTGTTTTCTACTTTGATCAGAGTAACATTTTTTTATATCAAAATTGTGGTTTAACCTCGTTACGGTGGGGAACTAATGCTTTTGATGTATTGTTTTGTAAAATGTTTCTTTCAATAAATAAATAAATTAATTTAAAATTCCCAGCCTCCCTCGCTCCTGCGCATGTGCAGTCGCGTCAACATAATAAATTTACTCTGAGGAAGACCTAAAGGACGAAGCGCATCACATGAAAACTTTTTCCAGTTTGTCGTATATATATATATATGTGTGTGTGTGTGTGTGTGTGTGTGTGTGTGTGTGTGTGTGTGTGTGTGTGTGTGTGTGTGAATATAGAGTGTGTCTGTAGAGGAGACAAAATGAATAAAAAGAGACAAGTGGAAAAACTATTCTTAGCTGCTGCGTTTCGTCCTCTGACGGGCTTTATCAAAGTAATGTGCTTGATAGAGTCCCTCTGAAGACAAAATGCGTCGGCTTTTCCTCTTGTCTCTTTTCATTCATGAAGAGAATCTGAAAAATCTTCTATCATTTACCTCCAACTCATAAAAGGATTAAATAGTTAGGCATATTATGACCTTTAGCTAGACTTATCAGCTAATAATAGCGATAAACCTAGATTAGTCGTCTCTTATAACGCATTAAAACTTTTATCTTTTTGTTAAACATAATAACACCGTCATTTAAGTGTATGAACAAGAGAAATAAGACAAAAGAAAGCTAGAGAAATAAATGAGACATATAAGTCCACAATAAAAGAATAAATGACAATGCTCTTTCTATGATATTCAGTTAGGGTTATCATATTAGTGCGTTGCTGCATTGGACCAAGGGGGAGAACTCTTGCCTGTACTTGGGAAAGAACACGTGCAGTAAACATAAAAGGTTCTGCCGGTCCTACTGAGTCGTATTGCTTTTTTACTTTGTCTATCGATAATATCGATCACTAGCTCACATCTAATCAGCCATCAAAAGAAGACTGGGCGTCATCATTATAACCAAGTGACTAAACAAAGGTTTAGTTGAGTATTCTGTTAAAACCCGTGAATAGAATATCAAAAATGACGTTTAAAGCACCAAACAATTTTAGCTTCCATAACGCAACCTCATGACCATCGTGAAAAGATAGATTTGAGCATTATCATCTTACATCAAAGCTTGTAAAAGAAGGCAGCAAAATAGAAATTAGTTCCTTGCTATATACGATGGATCCAGAGACAGACAGGATTTTTATGGCCTTTGAACTGAATGAACAGAAAAGTAAAGACTATGCAACAATTCTACGAAAGTTCGACGAATATTTCATACCTTAACGTTGAAAGTGCCCGAAAATACATATACGGACAATTTTTACGCTTACAAAAAGATGAGCAGCCTTTATTTTGTACAAAAATAAGTTGAAATATTTCATAATTATTTTTTTTTAAATTGTTTATATACGCGGAAAGCTCCAAAACTGATGCCTCCTATTTATTTGCACGAGAGTTACAACAGATTATAAGTAGGACAATAATACTGATGATTAAAGAAAGATTTGTATCACTTATTTATTTTTATACTAATGGTTACAGCAAGGTTGATGAATAAAATATTCATCAGTCACATCAACAAACACCTTCCAAAATCAAACTGTACAAAATATTCAGCAGAAATAGTCTAACACACACACACACACACACATATATATATATATATATATATATCCGTATCGAAATGCTACAAATAAGAAGAAAACATAAAAATTAACATTGCACTATAAACAACATCCCCGACTTGTGACTGGAGTAGGAGTGCTCACTACATGGCAACTGCTAACAAATCAACACAATATACCAAGCTACCGTAAACGCGAGAGGAAACCATGAAACAATGTATATATGAATATATTTCATTTATTTATTTAAACGTTATTTGTATTGGATACTCATATTTGAGTGGATGCTCTGTTCGTATTATTAAACAGGATATCTATTTATTTACATCTACCGAATATTCGAGAAATGATGTTAGAAAAATATGCAACCTACAGCAGGATTCGAACCTGCGTCTCCTAGAATGAAATCGTCATTATATCTGTCGTGCCAAACAAAGTCGGAACACTGCTTTTGAACACATATCTTTCCTGATTCGCGAAATATACATATCTGCTGTGTTTCCGAGAGGTCAAAAGGCACGTCACATCTAATGACTGAAGATACTGTCTTCTCCCGTGTCTTTTTAGATTCGCGTGGAATTCCAAGAGCCAAAAAAAAAATTACTATTTCTATTCTGATTATTTGTTTATTAAAATAAATCAAAATTTGTGGGCATTAAACTCAAAGCCTGAAATCTGTTCTACGTCCCCTGCAACTGATGTGGTTAGGGTCAGCAATATTAAAAATCACTTTAAATCTTTATCCATGAAATCAGACGATGATATAATCCCCATCAACAAACCAACGGACATTAAAATTGAATAAGAATTACGAAAGGAAATTGAACATTCTGATAGCCGTAGATTCTATTTTGACTCGAACTAAAACTGACAGATACATGAAAACATATGAGATAAAGAGAGAGAAGGGGAGAGGGAAATGAGAGTGAAAGACAGGATGAAATGGGGGGGGCGTGAAGAAAGGGGACCGTATAGAAAAGTTAATTGCAATAAAAAGTAGAAAGCGTAAGCGAAATCGAAGATGAAGGTTTTGATAATGCCGGCGCATATTTCGATTTCGAATTAATAGTCTCTTCGATTTCAAGCCAGTACATTGAATGTTCCGCCCAGAAGCTGATATTATCATCTTTAACAAGGAGTCTAGACAGTTCTATGGTTTTAAACAAAACCTCTGACACTTGCATCATTCATTATCGATAAAGTAATGCACATCCTTTAGCCATCAGTAGTAACACTGCTACACCTGCTGCCTTTCAGGATATATTTACAAGGGGGAACTGAAAAGTTCTTGAATAAAACACGTCGCCAAAGATGAAAACGTTTTTTGAAAGAGGTTGTTATCGACATTGGAAATTTTTCCATAGCTCTCATAAAATATCGAAAACGTTAATACGTATTAATTTGACTACACATATACTAATGGTATATATATATATATATATATATATATATATATATATATATATATATATATATATATGCCTATGTGTTTATGCAGGGGCTTGTATGTGTGTATATAATCACCTGCGTGTGTTTATGTTTATGTACTTGCATATGTGCGTCGAATTGTATATTTGTATTTGTGTTAACTGTATACGTCTCCGTTGGGTTCGGGTTTTATTATTATTGTTTTGACAATTTACTTGAGGTCATTTTTACGTGTGTATGCATTTTTGTGTGGGTGGGTGTGTTTATGTGCGTATGTATTCTTTTACGGGTTTATGTTTGTGTGTATTTGTACGTGTTCACACACATATAAACACGCCCCTGCATAAACACACATACAAAAATCCAGCTATAATACAATAACAATAAATTAGATGTCACCTGAGAAGCGGGGGGGGAGAGGGCGGGAATAAAAGAAAAGAAAAAGAAACGGAGAAGAAGTGAAATCAACAATCAATCAGCGTCCATCGAACGAAAAAGGAAAGTAACACACTCTTAGCACAATAAATGTACAAAGAAATCGAGAAATATTAACAGTTCGATTCTGTTCTGAAGAGTGGTTGCATCTATATAACTACGAAATTTTGAAATAAACATGAGTTAAGCGAAAAAATTTTCATTAATTCTATTAATACTCTATCCTTATCTACGATATTGAGCACTCTACAATAAGGTCTGCTTGACTTAAATGCCTTTCTCAGCAAACCCACTAAATAGGCATCTAAATTACTACTATATATATATATATATATATGTGTGTGTGTAACTACCCATTTTAAAATATATATTTATTTAAAATATATATTTATTTATTAACCACAATTTTTACAAGAAAATGATATGAGAGGAATGCATTTAGCATGAGATTTTATTTAAAATTCGATATTGGCACCCGACTTCACTACCAGCTTCTCGATACGCCCAGGAATTGCGTCAACTGATTTCACCAGGAAATCTTGTGGTATGGAAGACATAACTTCTTGTATTCGTCCTTTAAGTTCTTCCAAAGTCTTAGTTTGGTATAGGAGACTTGCCCCTTTAACCAATTCCAAAGAAAAGAGTCAAAGAATGTTAAGTCAGGACTCTTGGCTGGTCACTCATACATAAAATAGGGAGTTACTTTTTAATTACCCTGTAAATATATATATAAAAACTACACGCCAAATTTTTAGGACCAGCCTCCGGATTCAATAATTAGTAAGTTTCACGCCTTCTCTGGTTTAATTAATTCCCACTAATCTAGATTGCTCACAAAGTTAGCTCCACTTGTAGCTTTGTTCCAACGAGAGAGAAACTTTCTAAATACCTATTACTATAGATTTCTACGTAGTTATAATTTAATTTTTACAGTCTCATCCTCACATAAATATGTTTTGTGGGTGGGGACTTCCTCAAAACTTATCAAACTTGGGCCCGTAAAACACCATATCTATCCTGAAACAGCCTCATCTAGAAAAGGTTTACATACAATTTATTTGAATCGATCGAAAGGAAGATTTAATTAGTGTTTAAATTAATCATCCAAAACAACCTTAGAAATGTAATTTTGTATTCGGAATTAAATTCTGTGGTCAAATTTTATCACATGTTTTGTGTTCTTTTTTGTTTTGTTTTTTAAGAGTATTTTGAGAAAATTGTTTTAGTTTCTTTAGCCAGTGTTTGATAGTAAGTTAAGAAACATATTTTGAATTGTACCCGAGAGCAAATTCAACAAAATTTAAAATTAAAATTTAAAATTTTTTAAAATTCCGAATAATTAACTTGATATCTATCTGTTGATTTTGTAAAGTAGAGTTTTCTCGATAAAGTTTAGCATTATCAGTTTCTGTGAAAAAGCTTGCCATTAAAGCATGCTTTGTCATTTGACTTTTGCAAGTAGTGTTTCAACCAGAGTTTTCCGGATTTATTGAGAATATTTCCTCTCTCTCTCTCTCTCTCTCTCTCTCTCTCTCTCTATCTATCTATCTATCTATCTATCTATCTGTCTCACGAAAGTTGTTCTATATAGGTCTATATAATGTCTAGAGTCGCAGTCTATTACGTATATTATGACAAAAGTTGTAACTGACAAATAGCATATAAGTTAGTATGCGATCATTGTAAACCACTGATGATGTGCCAAAGCTTCAATCAGCATATATATATATATATATATATACATATATGTGTGTGTGTGTGTGTGCATTAAGGGATAGATGTTTGGCAAAGTGGAAAACGTATTCGTGTCACGTGTTTCGTCCTTCATCGAACTAAGTTTATGTCTTATGAATCGACTACACACATTAGCACAAACGAGGAACGCTGGGAATTTCAAATTTAAAGATTTTTTTTTTCATATATGTGTTTTTGGTATAAAAATATTCAACTCCATCACTTTTGTTTTTAAATATGGCACATTATCACAATAGAAGATTTGACAAGAATAGAGAAATCTTGTACGAACCTGGACGCAAATTTACTATGAATGATCGAGCGAATAAAGCAATTTCTATGCATTTACGTCTTAATTGTATGTTTTCTCTTTTAATTAGAGTAGCATACATACATACATATATTAATGCATGTTTCATTAAATAATATAGACAAGTTTTGTCTATTTATTTTAAGTAAATTCCTTTCATATTGTCTGATAAGCTTAGTAACATTATCATTGAAGGACGAAAGGAAATCACCATATTGATACATGTTTTTTAATCCTATCTAAGCTTTCGGCTTACATAAGCCATTATCAAAGATGACAATTACATTTCAATATATTAAACAATACACGGACAAAACAATAATGATAGTCTGTTTTTCTTGCATGAAAGATTTCCAAGCAACGACAGCATCGTGTATGAAAATGAGAAGTATTAAGTATGGGAAGCCGTTGGTATAAACCAATGGCTTCTGTTATCAATTATAGGCATTTAAGAATATTTGTGGAGATTTCACATTTTATTTTGTTCAGGTTAGGTTTCAACTGTTTTATGTATATAGCTTCAAGAATTTGCAACAAACAAAAACAACATACTTTACAAATTCATGTGCCCTTTGGGATATTGTATCTCCAATGGATGCAATAATATTTATGCTGGTCACACCACAAACTCGCTTTCACGCCGCTTGACTTTACATTTGAATGATAATTCTAACAATTTTAGGCATTTAAAACAACATGCCTGGCCGCATACACAATTCCGGAAAATCCTTGTTGAAAACACAACAATACTTAAACATGTAATATCAAGAGCCAGAACTCCCAAAAACTTCAGAGACAGATGCAACTTATGTTTGAAGGAGAAAATCTTCATAATCAAACATAAAGATCCAGACATACTACTAAATAGACACAATGAACTAGTTTTTTAAATGCCGGCACAAAAACAACCTAAATCTAAATAAAGTACACTAAGAAATAATCATATAGGAACAGCAATTTTGAATGTCTTATATTCCCTTTGTTTTTAGAAATATTACTATGCACACGTGAACGCTAACACATGACTGTATGTATACAACTATGATAATGTATTTGCACACTGAGACACCTGTTGATATGGACATGTATATGTTTTTATACGGAAAAAGAAGCATACCAGTTTTTTTTTTTTTTTGTTTTTTTTTTTTTTGTGAGTGTGGAGATGTACAATTAGTTAGGTACTTATATGGTTTGCCATAAATATGAAAGATCGGGTAATATTATAGGTGTAAAAACATAGATAATGTAATTAAATACTGAGATAGTCTTCGCACGCAGGCATAAGTGGATGCACAAGTGGACATGAGAATAGGGACAAATACGTGGGTAGATATATGTAAGTGCAAATTAACGCATATGTGGGTATGTAGATATTTTGCAGATTGCGTATGCGTATGTGTGTGTATGTATATGTATGTATGTACGTATGCATATATGGGTGTGTGCATGTATGTGTATATGTGTATACGTATGGATGTGTAGATATATATATGTGCGTATGAGTATATATGGATATGCAGATGTCCTTGTGTGTATATGTATATATGTAAGTATAAGTATACATGGAGATAGGTATGGAGACATGTGGATGTGCGTTTTCTCTACAAGTGTATATGTGTAAAGATGGAAATATACATATATCGTTTCGTGTGAATGTGTGTGTAGGTGTATATAGGAACTCATAGGCATATAAGACGATATAGGTATGTGGTTACAAATAGGGGTTTAATGCATGTGTAGATAAGAAAATGTAAAAGAAGGGCCTAATTTTCTGCTAGTGACATCTCTTCTAAATTTCTCCTCTAATACTCTCCAATTGGAAGTGAATTCTAAATAGCATGAAGGGAAAGTTTTAGACTAGTATTTTAATTGAGATTGAAAGATACTACCCCAATGTGGAAAATAAAATTATTTAAATGGGAATAACTGTTGATAATTGGATACATAAAAACAACCACGAGTTTACTTAATGAACAAAAATCAAAAACAATCACGAGTTTACTTAATGAACAAAAATCAAACAAATAAATGTCAACCTAACAAACTATAAGATAAAGGTTTTAGTGGAAAAAGTACTAAATATAAATTGGATTACTCTTTCAATGTTCTCTCTATGGATTTTTCCAATCGACTGCTTCATAGAAAATACCCAAAACTCCACCGAATTTCAAATTAATTTCTTCGTAGATTGTTTTAAAATTTAGATTTTTATCAAACCTTAACCTCCCAAATATGCACGTTAAAGTAACGCGAACTGACAGCGTCTAAGAATTTGAATGAAACCTGTCTTGTAATTTATTGGGGTTATTGTAACGTCTTCCTTAATGTAGTCCTTATCGCTCACCCTTAACCACCTTTATCTAGAGACGAGACGCGTTAGATTTGAGCAACATCCAGCCGACACACTGGGGTTAAAATAGGAAACTAAAATGATACATATGACACACTCATATCCTCTCTCCCACCTCACTTCCTCATTTCGTTAACTTTGCGTATACTTGATGAGGTCCGTAAAAAACGTGTGAATTTCTTTTCATTTTTCATTTCAGCTTTTGGAAGTAAAGTCTGATGATCCAGAACCCTGTTAAAGGGGTTATGGTGAAAGAGCTTATTACATGGATTCTTAACGTGGTCTGTCTTTTATTCAAACATATCTGCTCTGAATTTTACATTGAGCTCTCTGGATATCATCCTCCTCAGGTCTACCCATACGGATTACCTAAATTTGCATAAACTAAATATTAGCTCCTTATAAAATAAGTTGAGCTCTCGGTTGGATTACCTCCCATCGGATTACCATAAGGATCGAAACTTCCAAACTAAAATGGATAAATTTACACCGGACTACTCACTCAAGAACATTCCTCACCCTACGATTGAATCCTTCACCATGTCTTTGACGGAAAAAATCATTGACGTCATAAAAAGAATGAGGTGGAAAATTCACTTCCATCTTAATCCCCACTAAACTAGATGAAGCCTTTTACTTTAAATCTCAAAACAACCCACCAAACAATAAATTATTAGAACCTTTTGAACAAGATTTAATTGAGTTAATTAAGAAAATATCCTTCCAGAAGAAAAAATACAACCCATTCCAATCCAAACTCAAAAAAGACATCACAAATATAAGAAATTCAAAAAAATTATGGATCAGAGCTGACAAATCTAAAAATATTTACAAAATTAATCCCTCGGAATACAACCATCTGATTCAAAATAAAATCTCTGGATCTTATAAGAAGGACAACAATTCTAAACACTTTGACTCCATACACAAAGAAACTGCGAAATTAGCATTTAAATATAAAATTGCTGATAGAATGGGTACAACTCATCTAAAAGACGCCTGCCTACCTACTTTTTAAAGACCATAAACCTAACTTTTAAAATAATCTACAGTCCAGACTAATAAATCCCTCCAAATCAGAGTTAGGAATAATTTCTAAAAACATCCTAAAAAGAATAAACACATCTATAATTAAAAAATACCCGTTAAACCTTTGGAAAGATTCATCAGACACCATTAACTGGTTCCAAAAAATAAAGAATAAAAATAATACTACTTTTATACAACTTGATATCATCGATTTCTACCCCTCAATCTCTAAAGAATTATTAGAAAATAGCTTAAGTTTTGCCAGAATCCACACTGACATTACTGACGAAGAAATAAAAATCATAATGGACTCTAGACAGTCCATACTAAAACTGAACAACACTACTTGGATTAAAAAAGATAGAGACAATTTTGATGTCCCAATGGGATCTTTTGATTCAGCTCAAATAGCAGACCTAATAGGTATATACATTTTAGATATCCTAAGTAAATTCCTTGACCCTCAAAATATAGGACTATACAGAGATGACCATTTAATTGCTGTACCTAATACTAATGGTCCGTTAACATCCCAACTACAAAAGAAAATAATTGGGGCCTTCAAATTTCTAGGATTTAGAATCGAGATCTCTTCCAACTTAAAAATAGTAAACTTCCTAGACGTTACATTTAATCTGAACAATAATACTTATAAACCCTTCCAAAAGGAAAACCAATAACCCATATATATAAATATCCACTCCAATCACCCAAAATCAATAATTAAACAAATCCCAAATACAGTAAATGCTAGAATAAATAAACTTTCCTCCAGTAAAACCATTTTAACCAGAATAAATGGGAATACAATAAAGCCCTGTTAAAAAGCAATTTTAAGCAAACACTAAATTACATAGATAAGTCAGTAAGTAAAAAGTCCACTAAACCCAAAAATAGGAAAAGGAAAATTATATGGTTCAACCCACCTTTTTGTAACCTCTCCAATATTAATATAGGTAAATACTTCATAAAACTGATAGAAAAACACTTTAGCAAAAATGCATCTCTGAAAAAAATATTCAACAAGATGAATCTAAAGATTAGCTATTCTTGCATGAACAATATGGAAAGAATTATTAGCTCACACAACAGTAAAATTTTAAAAGACCTTCAGGATAATCTAAGACAAAATCAGGATACAACACGAATGGAAAAATCAACATGCAACTGCAGGACAGGATCAGA